TAAATTAAAGAGTTTCGGTATGCATTGTCGCCATTTTTTGTTGGCACTTACATGTAATATAATATCTCATTGCTTTTATTGTGATTGCGATTGTCAAATATAATAGCGGTAACACGTTTGCAAGTCGCTTTTTCCTGCTGACATTCATGATGTAATATGATATTTCATTGCTTTGATTGTGATTGTCAAATATAATAGCGGTAACACGTTTGCCAGTCGCTTTTTTCCTGCTGACATTCATGTCTGGAGTGCATGGAAGCTTTAAAATGCCATCGCTAATAAAGCGAAGGCGAATAGATCATGGTCTGCCTCCAACTGTAGTTTTACTAACCAAGACTGAAGACCAGAGATAAATTTGTACAACTGAAAGTCTGAAACAATACTTTAACAAAACTTTATTTGTAAATGTTGCGGAGTTTGTACTTTGCTCTCGCCTGATTATGTTTTTCGTGACTTCGACCGTTCGAGTTGTACGGGAAAATAGAGAGTTTAAGTTCGACTTCGAATACCGATACCAACAACAGGTCATGTTCATGCGCTGTGGTCGCAAAAAGCACGAGGGCAAGCGCAAAAAGAGCGACTTCGCTCAGTCAATTTAAGCGTAGTATTGCGGAACTGTCCTTTTAGAACCATGTTGATTAATTATAGTTAACTCTCTTTATTTACTTTACTTCACTTTATTTTTCTCAGTTTGTTGTTGGGGGGAGGTTGGGGGGTTCATATAATATTCCATATATTCTACTGTTTTATATATCACGCCCCTCCTGTAAATCAGCTTTTAGTTGTGCGAGGCTAGCGTGTTTTGATTTTAAATAAAATTGATTGATGATGATGATGAGGCACGTAGCGAAGCATCTGAAGTTGAGGGGTGTCGGAGGATTTTACCTGAAATACAACTCGAACGGTCGAAGTCACGAAAAACATAATCAGGCGAGAGCAAAGTACAAACTCCGCAACATTTACAAATAAAGTTTTGTTAAAGCATAGTTTCAGACTTTCAGTTGTACAAATTTATCTCTGGTCTTCAGTCTTGGTTAGTAAAACTACAGTTGGAGGCAGACCATGATCTATTCGCCTTCGCTTTATTAGCGATGGCATTTTAAAGCTTCCATGCACTCCAGACATCATGAATGTCAGCAGGAAAAAGCGACTGGCAAACGTGTTACCGCTATTATATTTGACAATCACAATCAAAGCAATGAAATATCATATTACATCATGAATGTCAGCAGGAAAAAGCGACTTGCAAACGTGTTACCGCTATTATATTTGACAATCACAATTAATCACAATCAAAGCAATGAAATATTATATTACATGTAAGTGCCAACAAAAAATGGCGACAATGCATACCGAAACTCTTTAATTTAGCGCAATCATGGCTATTACACATTCGCTTTAGTTTATATCCTGCGTGAAGTTTACATTAAATGCCCGTTTAAAAGTATTAAACTGGTTTTTTCACGACTTCGTGTCCTGCAATTTTGGTGTGACGTCAAACTTTCGATTAAGCTTCATTTTCTTTTATTGCATAAATTGTAAATTGAATAAAATTTTTATTTAAATTTTTATAAAATTGTTATCGGATTCCCCGATTCCCGGATTCCCCGATTCCCGGATTCCCCGATTCCCGGATTCCCCGATTCCCGGATTCCCCGATTCCCGGATTCCCGGATTCCCCGATTCCCGGATTCCCCGATTCCCCGTTCCCTGTTTTAAAGATAGCCAATTCAATCAATTCATCAGATTTCGTACGATCGGAGTCCCATTGCAAGAAATTTTTAATTGTAAGCCCTTTTCAGTAGAAATCGCGCTTTATAGAATAAAATATAAATACGAGAATATTGCGAAATATTTACCACTGTGAAGGTAGCCGCGTATTGGGCCTCACATTTGACTGTATTCAATCATTCAAAACTAGATTATTTGAACCCCTTCTTCTGACTACTTTTAAGGTATTTTTTATTGTAAAAATCTCAATTATGATGTCTCTTTTGTGAGTCTGACAACCTAGTAGTAAGTACCAAAAGCTATCAACTTTTAATTAACTGGGGGGGACCAAGGATGTCTGGCAACTTTTGTGAAACTCAAACCTGCAGAGGGAGAAGGGGGGGGTGAATCAAGGTGGCACTCTGATATTCAGGGTTCTGCCCAGGACCATGCAAGTGTTGGGTACCTGCAGCCCTGGGGGCATGCTCAAGAGCATAATAGCTTAAGTATGGTCACAAAATTTTCAATGTAACTTTGTGACTGTAAATAGAAACTTTTATTCACGGTAACTTGTATTGGTAACTAGTTACTTTTCTGTTGATGTAACTGTAACTAGTTACAAAAATTATGTACTTTTACAGCACTGCCCTGGGCTAGCAAACAGCGATGTATCCAGGCCCTGTGATAAAGCAGTGAAGAGATATATGCGAAGTCTACGTATCCATGCAACCACTATGACAACCTCATGTATATTTATTACGGGTAAAATCGATTTGGCCAACTCGAGAAAGAAAATTTGGACAGATATATACTCAGGAGTTTGTTAAAAAAGATCAATATTTCAATAGCACTAACATACACGTGGATATGATCAAATGCGCTTTACTTCAAGTATACCCTTACCTAATTACATACATATAACCTAGACTATTTTACTTTTTACAACGATTGTGATAATACCTTCTTAACTGTGTTTATCCTAACCCAGAATGAAACGTTTTTGTCGGATGAAAAAGTTACATATTGTATGTAAAGTCCAGTAATGTTTTCCAGGATGAACGCAGGGGAAAGCCATCTTCCTACTACACGGCATCCCCCCTGACAAAACTCGAACATGGGGGAATGGAATTTATACATACTTGTGCCTTTATCAGGGCGATAACAGGATGAAAAAAAAACATGATATGTCACTGATATCGCTTTCTGTCATTGATATCACTTTTTGTCCCGCTATTTTAATAATTTTTGCATTGGGGCAATGATTAATATTCAAATAAATTCTGACCCTGATAAAGGCACAGGTATATAATAAACAGGTTATCGCTGTTCGCTGCGCTCACTCGTGGCATCTATGCATGATATCGGTACACGTCTAGATACGCAGAGTGTCGTGGGGCCAGAGTGCTAAAAAAACCACAACGAAAGTGCGCTTTGCATTAAGTGACCACGCCCATGAAATTTTAACGAGCGTTCCCACTTCTAAAATTTGAAAAACATCACTGGTGTATACAAGCATAGTTAATAGAATAGATGGTTTGGAAACTCATTAGAATAACAATTTAACTCATTATCTATGTTAGTCAACGTTTATTCATAAATCTGGTCCTTCACCGTCACGTGTGTATTGTATTTTTGCCAAATCCACCAATAGCAATTTCCAATTTACCCTGTTGTTCGAATCACGGATAGGCAACTTTCTTAAGACATTGCTATTGGTTAGTTGGGCAAAAATACAATACGCACGTAACGGTGAACGACCAGATTTATGAATAAACGTTGACCAACATAGATGAGTTATATTGTTATTCTAATGAGTTTCCAAACCATCTATTCTATTAACTATGATACAAGGAACAGTTGAAAAAATGCGAGTATGTGCCCCTGGCATACTGAAATTTAACTTGCAGCCGTGCGATTCCGGTGCAGCATTCTACCCACCGAACTATAGATTCCAGTGGCAAAAAGCTTGAAAATGTGTCAGTACATAACACGCTGTCACACTCATCCCTAAATTTGCTTTTATACAGTAAAATTTTATGTGGTTTAGAATAACACTGAATTAATGGTCGAGAGCAATTTCTTTGTCGTCTTTTTATGGAAATTTCGACACTTGTCTTACATTTAACAGGTGTATTCATGGCGTCCAGAATTCGAACAAATCAAGATCAAATTATAGAAAATCAAGGGGCAATGAACCAGACACTGACTGAAATAAGGAATGCAATTGAACAAAATGGAGATCTAGTAAGACCAGAGCTGAATAACATTATTTTAAATCAAGAAAACATAATGGGAAGGCAAGAACAAATAGAGGAAAGTCAAGAACAAATAAAGCAATGTCAAGATGAAATGAAAAGAAAGAAGAGAAAAATGAATAAAGAAGTAGACAATATAAAAGGTGATATCGAAGGAATAAAAAGAAAACATGATGAAATAGATGTTAAAGTGAAGCAGATCAAGGTAAGACCAGAATACAGAAATATCACGATGTATGGCTATTCAACATTAATTTATTACCACTAGATTTTGGGCTACTAGGTTTTGAGCATTAATCGCATCATCTTGCGCTTAAATCGTATCACTTCTAAACCAATGAGATTGAAGCTCTGCACTAAGAGAACCAATCAAATAAAATCATAGAATAAGAATTTAACTAGCCAATCAATTGTAATGAGGCGAAGCAATACACGAGCGTATGAGTGTTATATAATACGTGGGTTCTTGTGTCACCGAAAACAAGATTTACTTATAAATTAAAGTTGTCGTATAGTGTTAACCATCATTGCCTTGTACATAGTTTCTTTCGAGTTTAGTGCCTTAGTGGCAGAATTTTAAAAATGATCGCATCAATAATCTTGACATTTTTGGGGGGCAGATAATGTACATGGATATGAAGCTAGTTTCGTCGTCATATGAAAAAATAGGTACGCTGTAACGTACATATGGCGTTCCGTTCCGGTCAAAATTAGTTATATTTATAACATTTAGATATAACACCGTCGCAATATGTTGTAACTCTCGAAATAAAATAGAACCGCACAAAAATAAATCGAACTCGCACAAAAATAATTCAAAAGGAAACGCACGAAAATAAATGGAAACGAAACGGAAGTGAACACAAAAACAAATCGAAAGGAAACGGAAGTCGCTGACTAAATATGCGGGTTTGGTGAAAAATGCGGATACGGATTGCGGATAATTTTTTTATTTCATAATTATATAATTATATATATTTTTATTTCATAATTATACACGCATATATATTATGTTGTCAGTCGTCAGGCTTATTATTGTGGTTTATTTGAAATTATTTAGTTCTATATTATTTAGTTCTATATCCTGAAAAAAAGCTTTTGCCTTGTAACAGCACAGAACCCCAAGATCCATTGTGAATTCAGCTCGAATTGTTATGCGAGGGGACCTGCATCACACATACCGTTTCGCCGCCCGTGTTTTACTGCGCCCTGGTTCAATGTTGAATGCACAGACGTAATGTTTTCATATTAATAAAGACAAGCTCGCCAGGAGGATCACTTATTATACCACAACGTTTAAGCGGATCCCCACTGCCAAAATATATCACACATTTGGACAGGTGGACAGAACACACAGAAGTGCAGCGAGTATAAAATGAAGGTGTTCGGCGCTGGCAACTGATAAGGATCCTTCATTTAAACTTATTTTAGAACATACGTGAAACAAGCCGTTTCTAGGATAATGAAGTATTGCGCATACAATTAATATTAATATTAACATTAATATTAACATTATTATTAATATTAATATTAACATATTAGCAATTAATATTAACATTTTAACTTATCATGCGGTTCAGAGTCGTTGTTATGAAATACACAAAAATGGAAACTTTTTTCCTGTTTTGCTGGTTGTCTTAGGACATTTTAGAAGACGACGACAGCATTGACCCATAATTTCAGGTTGTGCTGACATTCGTGTCCTAGATCTAAATCTACTTGTTACCTCTTGATGACAGAATATTGCACAGACTGTGCGGTTTTTTGGTTTCGGTAGTTTCTAGTCGTGTCCAATTTTGGTTTAGATGGTTCCGGTCATTTCCGATTCTTGTTTCGGGCTTTAGTACATGCCTTTTAAGGTCTATTTTGCGAACAATTATGCATGTTTCACTGGTAAAAACGCTATACATACGTCTACTTGAAAACGTTGCAAGCTTCCAATCTATAAACCCAAAGATTTTCATCATTGCACATATAATTTTACTGACGAAGATGTGAGCTTCCAAGCTTGGTCAAAAATGGTCAAAAATCGATCAACCTGATATTTTTCACAGGACTGGGTCTAATCGCTTGTTTGGAGGGACAAAAAAATACAATATGCTGAACATGGCATCTAGGAAGTTTTCCTACATTCCTGAAGTTATTTGTGCAGCCTGAAACGCAACAATTATAATAAGGCATCTTTAAATATATATTTAGCTCGCTCACTATAACTTCTTGTCCCTCCAAACGTTCCTCCATCCTCGTTCCCAGGGTTTCTCGGCCGCAGCCGAGAAGTCCTGGGAACGAGGATGACGTTCCTCCAAACACATCCTCGTTCCCAGGGCTTCTCGGCTGCCTGCGTTGCCGCAACGCGAAGCCCTGGGAACGAGGATGCTCCAAACATCGATCAACTAGACCCAGTCCTCTGCTTGATTGGGAAATGGCTAATTACGAGTTATGTATTTTTACCCACTGCGTGATCCATATTTTATCAAAATCTATGCAGTGTCATCTCTGAGATATCTGACTATTAACACCGCAACCTAGATATGCAAGTTTTTAATTTTACTATTCAGGATAATGTTGACGAGATAAAGCAAACTCAAGCAGAAATGAAAGCAGATCAAATGGATTTCAAAGCCGAGGTAAGAAACCAATTTGAAAGTATGGCAGTAATGTTACATCAACTGTTGCAAGGAAGAAATATAAACAACAATGGTGCTGAAGGTTTAGATCCACCAGTAGTTCGAGTCAACAACCAAGACATTATTATTCTTGGCGGTTATAATGTCCCAGGACTTCCAACTGTATCGAATACAGTTGAGAAATTCAATATGGTAGAAGGGAAGTCGACTCTGCTACCAAAACTGAATTACCCTCGAGCAAATTTAGCATCATGTGTTTACAATGGTAATGTCATCATTACTGGCGGGCTAGATGGTCAAGTTGGTACAGACAGCATTGAGATTTCAGAGATAAACCAGGATCCTTTGCGATGGACGATGTTTGATGGTAAACTACCGCTGAAGTTATCCGGTCATGACGTTATAGTTTATCAAGGTAAACTATACGTCATGGGAGGATATAACTGGAGTGAAAATAAAACAACGGATAACATCTACGAGCTGTCTATTATCCCGCCTTATACTGCCAATCTGCTGGCTAGAATGCCTCACCCAAGAAGAAACCACAAAGCAGAGATTGTAAATGGCAAACTATTTATCTTGGGAGGAAGGGCAACAAGCTTTTGTAAAGACACCACTGATAGCGTTGTCGTGTATGATTTTATCAAGAATGAGGTCAAGTCTTGTACATCGTTACTCAAGCCTGTCTGGGGAATGTCCTCAGTTACTTGGGGTAAGATGATCATACTTATTGGCGGTAAGGATAAGCATGACCAGGTCGTAAATGAAGTCACCATGTACAACACTGAATCAGGACAAAGTCAGAACTTGCCTCCACTGATACACAAGAGGGCCGCTTCGTCAGCAGTAATTATGGATGACGTCATTGTTGTATTGGGAGGATGGAATAAGGAGGAGGGATATCTCAACTCAGTAGAAAGTTTTACAATGGAAGGTGATCAGTGGAGAGAACTGCCAGGAATGATGGAAAAAAGAGTTGGCGCAAATGCTGTAGTAAAACCTCGCAACTGAAAAGCTTTCCATGGAAGTTTCTTAGACGCCTTCTATCTAATAGATGCCAAAACGCCCCCTTGAAGGTACGAAAATTTAATCAACTCCCAGGGCTTTATTGGATCATTTACGGTACTTTGTGCCATGAGAGTTGATCATCATATTTATAATTTCATGTCCTGTAGATACTAAATATGCACACAAAAGAAAATAAATAACATTGACTGAAACCTGATCATAAAACACCGGCCCTGAGTTCTAACCCTTCAATGATGGTTACGGCTCAGGGTTGTTTAATGTTCAGGCTTCAGTCAATGTTATTTAATTCGCTTTCATTTGCATATTTAGTATCTACACGACATGAAATTATAACCATCATCAATGACCTGCACTTGGGTTAACTCACTGACCTCAAACCTAACACTGAATAGTGCATCCGCTATGCAGAAATGAAGGCAATGTCGGGCATATTAATGTGAGCAGCACAAATCTACTGTGGTGTTGATGACATAGTGTAAGAGGTTCTTACAGTTTCTAGTTATCGCTGAGAAAGAATAAACATTGTCTGAATAGAAATTTATCAACAGTCGCCTCTCTTCCCGCTTAAATTTGCTCGTGAATAACTGATGTCACACCAAGATGGCTGCCACAAGTCTCATTATCTAGTGTTTAAGACGTTCTAAAACTCATTAGAAGAAATATGGGAAGTTATATTTTTTAAGTTACATAGGAAAAGACATTTGCTTCATAATGCATGTAGCTAACTTAAACACGTCGCGATACGATTTGCAGAGATTTTGACAGACTTTAAGATCTCATCTGATTATAAATATTCTGACTTCAAAATTGGTTTATTGAATACAAAAGGAAACTCTATCCAGTGTTTTGAGATCAGTGGGTTAACTTTACCGTGAAGCGTATTGTGTTTCCACTTTATATATAACTTGTATAATTTCTATGTAAATATTGTATGTATAAATTACTTTTCCTATAACTAGTATTTGTTTAAACAAAGATTTTCATCAATTTAATCATGTAAAAGTTTTAGATATAACTTATATAATCTCTGTGTAAATATTGAACATGTAGTTTCGTTGAAAAAACCTCAGCATGCTAATATACCTTTTGTTGAACAAAAACATTTTAATCTGAACATTGACATTAGTAATAAGCAGAACATTGAATTGATTTGAAATAAGTATATATAAATGTATAGTCATAATAAAGATTAATGTTTTGAGAGTTTTGATGGCGATCAATATGATTATTTTGTATTTGTGGTGTCACACCCCGTGAATATTAGCGCGTATTATTCAGGTTGATTTTAGTCGTTTGTTAGTTTTAATTTTTTCAGTTTGCCATTTTGACTGGAAAATGACATTTAACAGTAGAATTAGCTGTTCTCTCTCATTGACCTCTGGCAATACACTTTACTCCGTTGCGAAGACAGAGAACTTTTCCAAGACAACAAACCTAATTTCTCTCTTCCCTTTCAGCGACTATTTTTTTAACAAAGTTAAGGTTACAGAACACCCTAGACACGCGTTTCAGGAGATCTACCATTACTCGGCGAATTTTTATCCAATTTCTACAAACTTTCGCCGAATGCAGTCAGATAGATGAAGAATAACATAGTGTTACAAAATATACGAGAAATATAATTTTCCCGAATATTGCTACAAGTTTAAGTTTGTGGTACCTTCGCGCCGCGATCTACGTTGAACGCCAGTTTCACTAAAAACCTGTCAAACTATCATTTTTACCCTTCCCAAGGATTGTTCTAAAAAAGTGTGTTCCCTTTTTATTGTAGCATTAGGGGTAACTTAGCTAAGGCATACAGTCTTCCGACTTGTGTTATATTGCAACCAAAGCACAACAACAGGTTTGTAACTTTGCAACTAAAGGCCCATAAATTTCGCGCCAACACACTTTCGCAGCCAAGACTACCCTGAAAACAGACCTACGTTTCGCCCGCCCTAAAATTCCAAGACATACATCTACAATCTGGTAAAACTAGTAAGAGTATCAAGTTGGTAAACTGTGCATGTGTTTATGGGGTATTTTCCTCCGCGAGGTTTGTTCCATGGTAATTTGTTCCGGGGTTCTTTTTTTCGGTGTTTTTAGGGTATGTTCCCCGGGAATGTTTCCCCCGATGTCTGTTTTTCTTTCACTGACTTCGTGTCATATGTTTGTTCACATGACTGCATGAAGCTGGTAAACCTTTCACACTTTAAGAGTGTTCCAGCGCTTGAAACTCACTTCCCGTCAAAACAGATACAGGACACTAATAGAGACCTTAAGATTGACGTTTACGGCAAACGTCAAACCGCTAGCGAAGTTTTTGATTTTACAACTCTATTATAATAGCTTTTACACCAGTTTTGAAATATGTTAAATTTATTAAACTTGTGCTCTTTAGCAATGATTTAAGAAAGCAAATTAACCACTATAGTCATGCCATTCACCAAAGCAGTAAATTAAGATTTGGCGTTTGAAGTTGGCGTTTGGCGTATAGATTTCACGCTTGAACTGCTACGAGGGCTTGTAGTCGTTAAAGCATGAAATTTATACGTCAAACGTCAACTTCAAACGCCAAATCTTCATTTACTGCTTTGGTGAATGGCATGACTAGTGGTTAATTTTCTTTCTTAAATCATTGCTAAAGAGCAGAAGTTTAATCAGTTTAACATATTTCAAAACTGGTGTAAAAGCTACAATAATAGAGCTGTAAAATCAAAAACGTCGCTAGCGGTTTGACGTTTGCCGTAAACGTCAATCTTAAGGTCTCTAATGTTTTCTTAGGAAAAAACCAACCGTAACCCTCGCCATAACCCAAATCCTAACCTTTTGTAAAATCTCAACCCATATTGTAATTCTAACCCTCCTCTCGTCATAGTGGAATAATCCTTGTGACGTTGCCCTATTTCTCAGTATACTATTACATGGAAATATCGCTTCCACGAAATGACGTAATACATCTGAGCACAAGAAATGCCATATTTTGAACTTTTCAAGCTATATATACGCATTAAAATGATTAAAATGTAACTTCTATATTCATAATAATAACAACTGATGTGTAGAATTGTTATTTCTATGAAATATATCGACATATTTTGAAAATTGTGTAATTCCTAGACAGGAAGTTAGAAAGCCAATTGAGATCACAGCTTGATCACGAGATGTTTTGTAATATATTCAGATAGAAAGGCATTGTTTTACAGAAAGAACGACCTTATCTACAGTGAAACATCGTTCCTGTGAAAATTTCTGGTAAGTTTGCTCATATTTCTACATTACATTCAGACGAGAGCTGACGAGATCGCAACTGGACGCAAATTAGTCGCGTTTCATTTGTTCACACGGGAATTCGTGCGGTTATCTGGGGCTGGTTGTATAAAACTCTTAATCACTTTTTTGATCACTATTTTGTAGTTAAATAGTGATTAACTCTCAAATACGCGCTTCTTATTGGATGACATTTCCACTTAACTATGATTAACTTTAATCACTTTTTTATACAACCGGCCCCTGAGCTGGAATTGTCCGCCTTTGTGGGTCGCGTGTTCACGCAAAGCAAGACAGTTCAAACTTGAGTCTCAGACCATACTCAAGTTTTCATGATTTCTCATGGGTGTTCTCCTAGGACGTATCAAACCAGACCAACTAGACCACAGGGACCACAGCTCTCCGTACGAATTCCCGTGCGGTGAACACATGAAAGCGAACTAATGCGATGTACGGTTCTGAATTCATCAGATTTCGTACGATCGGAGTCTCAATGTACGAAATTTTAATTGTAAGTCCTTTTTAACGAGATGCAAGAGCCACTAGCGAGTTGCTTCGTGCGAGAATTAGTAGAAATCATGCTTTATAGAATAAAATATAAATACGAGAATATTGTGAAATATTTGGTAGACAAGTACGTATAAGCACTTGTTGCGCTTTGAGTAAACGCTCATATAAAGCTATATAGTTCATGTTTGCTCTTTAAATAAAGGAATAGAAATGTTGCCTTATTCAATCTTCAGAAATATTACATCTATATTTTGATATTCGCAGTAATATGCACTTTTTATATTCATAGAAAATACTATGTCTTAAACTAATGCGCATGTGCAGTTAAGGATGGGCTAGAGTATAATATCACGTCTACCAAGCTAGATTCTGCTATCAAGTTAACTTTAAAAGATTCCTAATATATAAATTGTGTTCACTTTTGACCTGCAATCAATCAAAATGATCCAACTTTTTAGTATCACATACAAACTTTCACATTCTTCAACTGTATATAATTATGTAAGATATGAGTCCCTCTCTCAATAAAAACTGCCCAAGTTAACATAACAAGACAGTTTGAACCTTTTGACTGTATATAGTCCCAGTATAGTCATACATTTTAGGTATGGTTAGGTATGGTTATGAGCATACTGCATGTTTTAGATATGTATACAAGTGCCTCATGAGCATACTGGTTTTATGTATGTATATGAGTGTGCTAATTGGCATAGAGGTTTTATGTATGTATATGAGGGCTATGAGTGTGCTCATGAGCATATACTGATTTTAGGTATGTATATGAGCGTGCTCGTGAGCAAACTGGTTTTATGTATGTACAGTATAGTCACAAAATTTTCAAAGTGACTTTGTGACTGTAACTAGTTATTTTTATTCCATGGTAGCTTGTATCAGTAACTTGTATAGCTTGTATCGGTAACTTCTAGCTTGTATCAGGCTCTGTCATTAAGCAGTGAAGAGATATATGCGAAGTCTACGCTTTCCATGCAATGGCAAACAACCTCATGTATATTGACATTACAGTGATAAAACTATAAGTATTCAGGTGCTTCTATGCAAATCCCCCAACCCCACCCCGCCTCGAACAGCTGTGTATATCGTAATTAAATATGGCTAACATTGATTTGGTCAACTCAACAAATAAAATTTGGACAGATACATAGTGAGGATTATGTTTGACATGATATATTAATGTAACAGTGCAATATGTAGCATGTTGCTGTTGGTTGGGCTGCAAACCCAACATGTGGGCATTATTTTTAAAACATATTCTGTGAAATTGTTCTTCCAGCAATATTATTTTATTAGTACAGGGAATAAACATTTTAACAATCTGTTTCAAATTGAATTATTGTTATCATTTATTTAAAACATTTGTGTTTTCTGATTGGTTAACAGCCAACAATGAAACTCTCAGTGAAACTCAGTCTTTGGCTACTGTCAATAACACAAACTTCCGTATCGATAATTTTTCAATCCATTTAAAAACCAAATTCAAAAATTGTTCAATATTGCCAAAATCTCATGATGGTACCACATATAATGACCTCGAAATGATTTAATGGAAACATGTATTCCATCTATTTGAAATAACTCATATAAAATAAATAAAATAACTCGAACATTTGCATCAAATGCAAAGCTGGTAAAATATTTTAAAAGTATTTTACTTTGTTTGGAGATGACCCAAGCATGTTTTTGCAAAATATTATCATTTTCAATAGAGCCAAAACATCACAAAATAAAATTGTTAAAAGTATGCTATACATGTATTTATCGCTTACCTTTCGTACAGATTCTTTCGAAGGCAATTGGGGTAAATAACAAATCCTCTTGCTGCTTTATAGGAATCCAAATTCATTTTCATAATGTCGTTATCTTGACTATCTTGTGCATTGTCTTCGTGAAATATAATATCTGCATTCAGTTCATGTAGTTCATTCGCTCCAAACATGCTTTATTCACTTCCTGTTAATACCATCATCAATTTCTGGGATGTCCAAAATCTTGGTCTTTTTCCGCTTTCTTCTGGGTTTTGTATCGTCAAAGATGCGATGTCTTTTGTTGTCATGCGCTCTTTCATTCATTATTTATACCCCTGGTTCATCCTGAATATAGAAATTGAAAATTGTTCAGTTTTTCGTTTACCAAATCATTTTTGTGCTTCAGATCTTTTTTCAACTAACCCCACTAAATTCAGCATCGTAAAAATGCTTTTTTATAAAAGTTGTGTCAAGTTTTTATGATAATTTCCAATCTCGTTCCCCGAGCCTGCGATCCTCGGGAAGAAACGCGAGGCTCCGAAAGGCTCTGGGATAATACGCTGCCGGAAGCCAGGAATCCTGGCTAAAGGTCCATACTGCACCTGACGCGATTCGATATATATATATATATATATATATATATATATATATATATATATATATATATATATATATATATATATATATATATATATATATATATATATATATATATATATATATATATATATATACATATATATATGTTGAGTTATGTAATTGTATACTCCGTAATATGTTAAGGTGAAAATGTTCTCGAGTGTGTATTATATAATTTCCATACCCAGCGTAAGCAGAAAGATAAAGTCTGCCGCGGCTGGGTCTTGAACCCGCGACCTTCGAATTACTAGATCGACGCTCTACCAACTGAGCTACACGGTCAGACGGATTTATCGGATTTATATTTATTTATAATGGACTAGCACTTTGCTGAACGTAATAATGCGTAACTCCGTAAGCCTTGTTTTAGACATTGAATTTCGGTCGTGTGAAATGCAACTAAGACAATAGATAATGAAGGCCGAAGCTTAATGAGGTTTATCATCTCATTGTCTTCTTAGTACTGCGTGCATACATTATACACGTCATAATTACGCATTCAGTGAGTTTTTTTTAATTGACCGGGAAAAGCAAGACAAAATTTTGTTCATTTCTCGTTCAATTTTTAACCAAATTCAACCAAATTTTAATCAGTTCTTCCTTAGCCGATGGGAAATGCACTCAAAAAAATTCGTATGAATATGTTTGGTATTTCCTGAGTTATCGTGCTCACAGACAAACACACACATATACACATACACACACACACATACACACATATACACACATACAAACCCAGATGATTACATAACCTCCTGGCGGAGGTAATGCTTACATAACCTCCTGGCGGAGGTAATTAATTAATGATCACATTCAACTTGGGGTGTAGCGTACCGACTTGCTGGAAACCAACTTGATGATCATACGGTAAGGTAGGCACACGACTGGAAAATCGTTTTCCAGTTGTATAGTTAATATCATAATCATAATACATATCACCTGCTTTAATATAGGTTACACCGAGGGTTGTGTAACAAATCCACTTATTTTACTCTATATACTTTAACGTAAACGAAATATAAAAGTCACACAAAAATATATTGTTCCTTTGTTGCTACATAAACTCTTTTCTAATTTATTAACTACGAGGTTGTCCTTTTCCCTTCTGTCCCTTCTATCCTCTAACTTCCAATCTGTTCCCTAATGTATACAGTATACAGTACTTTATAAACTAATGACAGCAACAACTCAGCAGAAAACTATACTACTTTAAGCGTTTCGCATGATTATTTTATATTCAATAGATTTTCTATTGTTTAGAACGCTTCTTTATTCTTATTTAACTTCTTTTATTTAGAGCAAGTTTACTAAGTTATTGTTTACTATGTTTACTCAAGTTGAGTATGACCACTCCGAAGATACTGCAGTCTTGGTTTTTCTCGACCACAATCTCAGTTGAAAGATTACGGTTTAAATGTAATCCAGTATATGAATTGAATTTTTTAAAATTTTGTATCCGTTTGTCATTGCCACGCAAGTACGGAGAAATTTTGGTCTACCTTCACAAATGTCTGAGTCGGACAACTTAGGAATATAATTATTCGTCTTTTAATTGACTGGACCTTAAGGAAATTAAAACTTCTTATCCTCCTTTGAAAACGATGGAATGAGTTGCATATGTTCCCAACAGTGGAAAATACAGTACATCAAAATGGATAATGTACCCGTTTCTTGAAGCCCCGTACTTGAGCTTTATCCTATATTTAGTTCGTGATTGAGCCTGTTTTCGTAGCAACTGTTCTTCGAGAAAAAGCTATAGTTACCACGGTGTCGATAACTAATCTATTCTTAGTTTCAAATTTAATTGCTTGTGATTACTGTATATCTCTGTTCTTTCTTCGAATTTCTTCGATTTCGCCTCTAGTGAAACTTACATCTTCACCAAGGATTTCAAAAGCAGCCCAGAACAAGTACGAAGTATATTGTCCACCTCTTTGAAACTGATTCATGGTTTCTTTCAATGCAAGGCAAACCGATTTTTCGTCGCAAACTTTTTCGTAGAAAGCTATCATAAACTTCTTTGTAAATTTGTCATCAATACTCCATAGTGTAACCAATACCGAATTAGCGCCAGCTCCAAGGAATGCTCTGGCAATGCCTAAAACGCCTTCGGAAGATAACTTCCCCATTCCAGTGTGGCAACACGAGAGAACGACTAGCCGAGCTAACAGCTTGCACTTTAGAACATCCCTTTGCGTGAGGAGGTCCGACGATGACGCTTGGTGAGCGCCTTCATTTGATTTGCTTGATTCAGGAGCCAGGAAAATGTGACCAGTCTGTTCTTGACCATGGGCGGCAATATGAATGATGGAAGCATTAGACATCGCATTCATCAATTTGCTCTTTGTTGCCATTCGGCCGGTGAGTGGTTTTGCATCCAGTAGCGATGCAAGGTATTTTACTTCTTCTTCCGCTGACGGTAGGGGTAGAAGCAGAACATTTTGAACTTCTGGGTTTCCGACAAACAAAGAAGATCCAATTTGCTTGCTTGTAGATGCTTGCATGCTTATCGCGAGAACGTGAACTGAAGGAATTATTTGAATCTGGTATTGCTCCGATAAGAGACAGTCATTTTCATCAATAAAGGATGAAAAAGGCGCGAAAAAGATGCAGCTTTGTGGAACAATAATGAGCTTAGTTCCTCTTATTAAACTCTTCACTGGTTTAATCAAGGCTCTGTACAAAAGTGAACGTGTACCTTTCGTCAAATCATCACATGATTCGTCAGTTCTTTTAGCAGGTGCTCTGTACTTGTCTGTGCTCTCTATAACTTTGACTTTCTTCTGCTCGTGACTTGTTGCTCCCGCTGCATTTTCTTCATTCTCAGGTCGACTAGAAGTTAATGGTTTGGCATTCGGATCTTTAAAATCGCTGACGGTTGACTGTTTGAAAAAGGAGTACCCCCGCGGGAATCGGCCGGATGCCTTCTCCAGCACTTTCTTGATGTTTTCCTCCAATTCTTGACGAGAAGTTTTGGTTTTGGAAGTAGGATCTGACGTTTTTAAAGAGACACATCCATCTGCGTGTAATATCCAAATCGTAAATATTTCTTCGTCGTTGAAATTATAGAACAGAATGGTAGCATCAGACTCCAATAGTTGTATTTCTCTAGTTAGGATGAAAATTCGTTCCTTCTCTTTCCCATCCTCAATGGTCAACCATGATGATTCAAAACTCGATTTACTGTTATCGTCTTCTTGCACTTGCTTGTAAACAAGGTGTCTTAATATTTTTGCTCTTCCCAAATCAAGAAATAATAGTGCTGCTGTACACCTTCCTAACAGAATGAAAGGACTCACAAGGCTGTTGTACCAACGATAAAATTTATCTGAAAAAGCAGTCTTGTTATTGTCTTCTGATAAACTGGCCAAAACTTTATCAGTTGACTCTATAGCCAGTTTGAAGGATTCTATACAACTTTCGAGCGATATTTTAGCATCATGGAAACTGAGAAACTCCAAAAAAGCGATTTCGTAGTGTTGTATACCCATATTTCCATGTACAATTGCTAAATCTGAAAATTGCATCATACCTTGATTAATTTCGATGCAGCGTTTGAAATAAGCTTCAGAAATATGTGTTTTCCCTAAGCGATTGTAGCTGCTTGCTAGAACTCCTTGAGAAATGGACGCTCCTTTCTTGTTGCCAATATCTCTAAAAATTCTTAGGCTTTCTTCACAGTATTTAATAGATTTCTTAAACTCTTTCATCTGGTGATATGCATCTCCTATGTTATGAAGATGTCTTGCTTCCTCGAGTTTGTTGCCTGTCTTCCGACTTATTCTTAAACCTTCCGAACATAACTCTATGGCTTTTCCGTGTTCTTTTATTCGATTTTTTGTTTCTCCCATATTGCCATAGGCGATTCCTAAAAGAACTTCATTACCTGACCTTAACAATATCTCAATACCCTCCTCTTGACGTGCGATGGCTTCTTCATATTTCCCAAGTTTACTACATATACTTCCAATAAAAACAAGACCGTTACCATGGCCTATTAGTCCTGTCGGTCCTGGAAGCTGCTGAAATATAGCTATGGCTTCTTTGGCCGTTTTTATAGCTTTTTCGTACTCACCAGTTTCTTCGTAACAGAAACCTAGGATCTCCAAAATTCCAGCTTCCTTACTTTGATCCTTCAGTTCGCTATTGAGTTCCCGAGCTTTAGTTAGGTAGATTTTGGCCTCGTTTACCTTTTCCATTAGACGCATTTCTTCTGCTTTACAAACAAAAATCTGAACTTGGGCACTTTTTGACGCCGGACTACCTCGAGGCTCTTTCTCCATTACAGTGGAGAAAACTTTTATCGTGTTCTAAAATATTTAAAAATGAATATTTACTATATGTGCGATAGGTCTCTTTAGCAGGCTTTAGAACTGGCTACGATAGGCCTAGAGCAGTAGAGCATGAGTGCAAGTGAAAAATGCAACCAATAACAGCTTGGACAAAATTCAAAGAGCAGTAAAAAAATTTAATTGGAGACGGCAAATTCGTACAAGCTAATTAATGATTGAGCACTGATTGAGGACGTCGTATTTTATATCTCATAAAGCACTCCTGCTCCTATTTAAAATAGTACGTATTATCATTTTATGATAATTAGTTATCACTTATAATTATAATTTGACAATTTCCACCCAACCCAACAGAATATTATGTTTATCCGCAAGTGGATCATGCTGTCACATGTATATAAAGGACGAACGATGTTTGAGTACATCTTCTAGTATAAAGCCATATAATAGGGAGGGTACTGAATCACCGCCAAAATCAATAATTGAATTTTGCATTTCAATTTCTTGATTTTGTTGTTTGTTCCATGCTTTATTTAATATTACAGAGCTGTATTTTGATATCAAAGAATTGAATTTTGACTTATTTCCCACCAAATTATCGTAGTTACCACTAATTATTTCAATATTGTTGTTTCTGTATCATTGTGTATACGAAAAAAGTTGCCGACAACCGCTCAAAATCTCGAGAAGCAGCAACTTTATTACGCCGTGCAGCAAGTATTTGACGAAAGATTCATCAAGTGATGCTGCTGAAACTGCAGAATGTTCGTCAGAGAGTGAAAAGAACAACAGTGCTGCCAATACAGGCATGACCGTGTGTCCAGTTCAACCATCTGCAAGTCAACAAGCTATAGTTTCTAGTCAGGTTAATACCCACGAAAAACGTCGGCGACTCTTCGCCCCTTACAATAGGGCTAACAACAACAGCCTTGTTCATCTACCTGCGGCGAAGCGTGGCCGAAATAACTGTTGGGTGACAAACACGTTATTTCAGGCCACAAGATATTGTACTTGTCCAAGTACACACAATTTTTTTTGGGCGGGAAAGTATAAGTTACAAAAAACTGGTCTCGGTCGAAAGCGTATATTTCGTTTCACAAGAACGACGGCTCTTCAAAACTAAAAACAAAACTGGAAAAGGCATGTCCAAAACTTGCATCAGGAAGGGGGGTTACTACTGTGAAGTTGTTTTAGTTGTGAATAGCCGTCGTTCTTGTGAAACAAAATATGCTTTTGGCCGAGACGAGCTTTTTGTAACTTATACTTTTCCACCCTCGTTGGTGCACATTTCTGTAGTGGCTTAGATTAACGTGTTTGTCACCCAACATTGTATGAGGCAAAGGGTCGCCGAAATTCTTCGTGGGTATTAAAGAATCACAGTCAACCGTGATACTTCGCGCGCTTTGTAAATGTTTACATATACAGGGAGCTAAAATAGTGTTGCCTCCGAAAATAGTCATACACTAAAAAGGTTTACAGTACATTAGCTTTATGATAATTAAACAAAAAACTTTAATCCGCTGGTGTTTTGATGAAACCCTGAATCTTGCCCTATGGCCTGCTACGTTCACGCAGTTCGTCTATGCTTTGATGCCAGGATTTCGGCGAACTCGCTATGCGAAAGCTCGCGTATTCCCAGGCTTTCTAGTTTCTTTCCTTTCAGTTCAAAGGACGAACGTTGAACTTGTCAACGATATTTTTTGGTATACCCTCATTTGTTGGTCTTCCATGAACGGTAAATACAGAAGCCATAATTAGCCATCTACTTAATAAAATGAGAAAACTTTCTAAAATCATTGGTTAAGATAAACACAAATGCCAAAATCTCAATCAGTGATATATTAACATATTCCAACTATGAAAAATATGACATCGTCTAAGAATAATGCAGATTGATAAGGATACGCTTCGGATGTCAATCTTTCGTCACTAAAGTGGCTAATAAAATGGCGAAATACAAAACAATCAAAACATTTTAGCGCGCAAAGCATCTTTAAACAAGCTAACTAGAAACAATGGCTTGTTGACTCGCGGGAGGTTGAGCTGAACGTACTGCCACTGTATTGGCAACATTGTTGTTTCTTGTACTCTCTGACAAACATCCTGCACTTAGCTTTCAGCAGCATCACTTGATGAATCTTGAGTCAAATTACTTGCTGCACGGCGTAATAAAGCTGCTGGTTCTCCCGATTTTGATCGGTTGTGGGCGATTTTATACGTACACAGAAGCATCAATATTGGAATAATTGGAGATAATTACGATAATTTGGTGGGAAATAAATTACATTAAATATAAGTCGAAAATTGTGTTCTATGCGGCACGCATAATGTTACGTCAACACAATGGAATGTTTAAGGAAAGAATAAAGTTGTATTATATGAAAATTGAATCGCCTACACGGATAACCGCTATCATCAAGTAATATACCGGGAATATCACCACGTTTTAACTGTACACACATGCGACATGCGACTGTTATCAAAACGTCTAGCGATGTGGACACTAACGTGGCACAATGTTTAGCATTTCTAAATTTGGTCCGCAAACTGCTTGCACGTTTATTTTGATTTCTAAAAGGTTCTGCATTCTCACCCCCGGTCATTGTATTTTAGTATGCGTACAGTCAATTGCAGAAATCCAGTTTGATTTGATGTAGCATATCACATGCAGGAAAATTAATGTAATTTTTCTTTAAGCGTGCAATTACTGCGGATGCACATTCTATAATTCTACTTGCTGATGGCTGCGAAGTCAGTGTATTTCGAGGACCGAAATACACTGACGTTGCAAGGCGGTGCTATGTTATCAAAGTTATCTAACTTCCAATCAATGTGGATTACGTCGTCTGAATACGAAGAATTTGGGCCTGGGATTGTACATAGGAAATGTGTATAGCTTAACTGATGCATGTGGAATGTGGAATGTTGATAGCACTGATCAGTACATGTAAAAAGAATGTAATTAACCCTCTGATAGCGACACTGTCTGTAAATATATGTAATTGCAGTGTTAATAGCCACCATGTTAGACTTGCATGATATGTATTTATCAACACAAGTCTCCGCATGCTAACTGGAAGGTACCGGTGGCATAAAATCGGAGCGTCAACAAGTTAAATATCAGCAGGAATGGGTGTCTCTCAGTGATTGTGTGGCCACATGTCTGGCCTGATTATATCCAGTAACTCACGAAAACCAGTCTTAGTTAAACTGTATCTGTTCTGAAATTGCTCATCGTCATACTTCTCAAAATCAAAACTATATGAGCGCAGTATCATACTATGTGAGTGTGAATGAAAACTCGATGAGTGGTGAGTTGCACTTAAGGAGGATGAGCGTCCACTCGTTGAGTGTGAGCCAGCTTTTACAATACAGGCGTTAATCTTGAATTAATTTAGTAGTTCACCACATTAACATCAGTGCACGTCAGCATGCACAATCTATACGTATTCCAGCCTCGTACCCAGCCGCAAATAACGTACTAAAACTAGCAACACTACAGTGTTTTTATATAGATCAGTGGCTAAGATGAGCGAGCGCGCGGGGGTGCTTGGCAGAATATGTAATATATGCGCCTGGCAGAATATGTAAATATGATTCTTCAGAAATACGATATCCGAAGAGTCGAACCATTCAGCTTTAATACTCGTGCCTTTTCAATTATTTCTGGCGTTTTTGGTGCTGAATATTATATTTATATGTGGTTATGGATGAGCTGGAACAATCGCTGAAGGAATTATCAAGGAATTATCAAGAAATGAGTGTTAGCGGTGAGTATTTGTATTGGTTTGCCTTGAGATTTCATTATTGTCTGTATATTATGTGTGCATCATTGTATAAATCTTGGTCAAGATGATTACAAGAAATAGGTTTCATATTTTAAAAGAATTTGAAAGCTCCCCACAAAAGGAGAAAGAATGATTTCAACCAGGGAAGCACCTTTAATAATTTAACACCAGAATCAAAAGCCCATGTTGAGTCCCAGCCAAAGAGATTTGCTGATCAAATGTCTTTATACTATACAATTCTAAAAGTTGTAAATACTTGAATAGTTTATTTTCAGCAAACAATTATTGAATTGATACAGAGCCCAGTAGTGCTGTCACTACTATGACTACTGCTTGATACATGTATATTAAATTTGCCATGAAGTGATTTGAATATTTTTGTTTTTCTAGGGTATTGTGTGCAGTTTGACATTTGTCACTGATGTTCTTGAATTCCAAAAGATCCTCAACTACATGTAATTATATGAATATAGATATAATATTATATTTGCAACCCATGAACTGTATATATATTTTCTCTGTAGCTGGTTCAGTTCAACATAGCACAATTTGACTGAGTAAAAGGCTTTCTGAGGGCGCCTCTGGCAGCCACCTTATGGAGGGTGAGTTAGAGGCTAATCCCAAGCCACCCTGTCAACATTCCCTCTGTAGAAAACTGGAGTTCCCGGAGAAAAACCACAACTTTTGTCAGAGTGTTGACTGACTCTTTTCACATACGTGTCATTGAAGTGGTGAGAATTGAACCAACAACATCAGAGTTAAAAAGTCCTTGCTCTAACGATTGCACTACCAAAGTCGGTCGTGCAATCAGCACGCCACCATAGCCCCAGTAGGGTGCAGTGGAACTTAATTGGGTAAGCTGTTAATTTGTGCCAATGTACCTAGCTTGTTGAGAAGTTAAGCTGTGAGTGAGTGCATGGGTCTATAAATAAAAGCCCGCAAGAGTATTAAATTTGCATAAATATTGCTATAGCTCTAGATTCCTTTGAATGTAAATACTAGTAGTTTAAGTTATGAGCAAAATAAATAAAATTCTCAAGACTTTAGTTTAAATGTTACAGGGGTTGTTTTTTGCATAGCATGTTGATGAGGTATATCTCATTTAGTCAAGTTGTGTAAAACATATGCCCTTTCTAACTTGGCTGAACCAAAGACCATACACAGGATTTACGAGGATTTAGGAGCAAGCACAGAAACAACTGGGATAGGTCTTGTTGTGTTTACATTACAAA